GGGGGGTGAGGGAGTGAGGAACAAGGTACAATTTACGGGTAACGCATTATGTGCTCGTTATTATTTATAAAACATACGGATAAACTAAATTGTTATGCTAGAGCTACTTTTGTTGATTTTTCATCTGCTTTTAACACGATGCAGCCATATATTTTAATTGAGAAACTCCATAATCTTGAGGTTAATCCATATTTAATTTCTTGGATCAGTAACTGTTTATATTTAAGAGAACAACGTGTAAAGGTGTCTGTCTTTCTAATGTTATTACTACTAATGTTGGTTCCCCCCCAAGGATGTTGCTTATCCCCATTATTATATGTGTTATACACTAATGATTGTGTTTCTCGTACACCTAATACGTATCTACTTAAATACGCTGATGATACCGTAATTGTAGGTCTTGTGCATGGTGACCTATCGGGAAACCATTGAAGGTTTTGTCAATTGGTGTGATACTAATCAATTAACTGTAAATGGCAAGAAAACTAAAGAAGTAATTTTTGACCGGTTCCAGTAAAAATACATGATGATGAAATTGAAATAGTTACTAGTTACATGTACCTTGGCATGATAATTGATGATAAGCTTAATTGGGGCGAGCATTGTAAAGGACTATTTTCCAAAGGACTCACTCGACTTTTCTTCTTAAGAAAACTTAATCATTTTCACGTTGATCTAACGATTTTGAAGCTTTTTTTTATTCGTCAGTTGTTCAAAGAGTAATTCTTTTCTGTTCCGTTGTAACTTCAAGCATTAACAAACAAGGCTTGTCGTATAATTAAGGAAAGCATTTCGATTGATAAGGTTTGTGTTGCAATTATCCTAGATAAGACAAAGAATATTATGACCAATAAAAATCACCCTCTATACCATGAGTATAATTGGTTAAAATCTGGCACGCGTCTACGCAGCACTCAATGTAGAACTAACCTGTATTTGAATTTGTTCATTCCATTCTCCATCAGATTACATAACAATAACTAGATATAATCTCTCTATACTCATTACCAGGTATTATCTCTGTATATTTTTACTTTATACTGTTTTGTATATTTTTGCTATTCTTAGTTTTTATTTTTTTGTATTTCATTGTATTGCGATTGTTGCCTTAAATGAGTTTCCGCAAGGACCAAATAAATCTGAATCTCAATCTAAATCTGATATTTATCTGCTCACTATATGCCTATTTATTACAAATTTAAGAAGTTCGTTGAATTAATTAATTTTAAGTGGTTAGTGGCCTTAAAAATGACAGACCGATCGGAACTATTTATTTTATTGGCCAATCAGCAACAACTGAAAAGGCGGGGGGGGGGGGGGGGGGGGGGGGGAGGAATTTATGGCAAGAAAATTATCCGAGGGCACTCCTGTGAATTTATAGAAATAATTTTCAAAGCAAATATAGGCCTAGTAGTTCTTTATAGTATGAAATCAACAGAAATTTAATTAAAACAACACTATATGTTATGTTCCCAATGTTATTTCATGAGGCAATGTTAATGTCCAGATATTTTTTTTTAAAATATTGAGCTGCTAAGGAGGGGTTCTACTGTAATTCAAACTTCTGTGGTCAATTATTGCATTCTCAAATCTGGGTGCTTGTCTAGGCCCACTTTATGACAAGTTCTCGTCCGTTAATGCGATGGTTCTGGTCCTGGTGTGTAAACCCAAACTCGTAAGGACTCCATAAGTGCAGGGGTATAATAGGAGGAGTAGAAATACGGTCGAATTATTTTAATTTCACTTTATTTAAAAAACTACTAAAGGGAGAGTATAAAATATATTACGGACATTCTACACAGGAACAAAGATTTTTATGTGTTCTCTACAATGAGCATATGCAAATGCAATATTTCAATGAAGTAATGAAAAGAACATGAACTCTTAGAAATTGTGATAAAAAGTCTCTTCCGTTATGTTTTAAAAACGGATTCATCTGAAAAACAGTTTGGGGACAGTAATGGTCTTTATACTATCAACCAGCGTACTTCGAACTGAGACAATTTGAGAGGCCTCACAGTTTAGTAAGTGAGAATAAAACTTTCGGGATTTAAAGTCGTTTTTTAAATCTGTGTATTTTAAGTCTAGTTGGTAACTAAATAGCGTCAAGATTTTTTTGGGCAAACTGAGAGCAGAGGAGAGGATCTAGAGTATTTGGACAGATTTGGATAACCCCGATGATGTCAAGTTTCTGAGTACAACTAGTGTTGATGTTGAGTGCCATATACTAAGATAGGAATAAGAACAGTTTTCCAAATATACTGTAGTTTTCACTTCAGTTGATGTACCATCCTCACAGATGTCCACTCCCTGAAGAGAGAAAAATGATCTTTGACATTTCTTAATTCTTTTTGCAACATGTGATATATACCAGGACATTTTGCAGATACTCCCAGATACTCAATTTCATCGGTATTAGTAAGAAGGCAGTCGTTAAGATACCACAAAGGTTCTGGTGTTAAAGTTTGTTTACCAAAAAGTGAACACCTTGTTTTTGATTGGTTAAACCTGAGCACATGGGCAACAATATTAAGCATTGACATTTCAATGTTGTAAGTAAGTGGTCATTTGCATAACAACAAAACACATTATAGGTTGATTTGGCAATACCGATTGTTTAAAACGCACAGTAATGTCTTCTTGACTCAAACCGATAATGATAAGACGCAAAAAGTCTTGAATATTCTGAAGTGGAAAACACGAGGGTGATACTATTTTAGAGTTCTCTTCGTTGGCCATGGCCGGAGCAATAATAAACCACTTCGTGCCCACCTGAAAGACAGAAACACCAACATAGCAAGATGTTACGAAAACCATTGAAAATACGTTTCTTAGCTTTATGGGTTTCCATGGCATCCTTTTTATACTGTATTCCTGTATTTTTAGTAAAATTTTATTTTATTGTTTTTATATTGATGTAAATTGAAATATTTTATTTTGAGATGTTAAATAAACCAAAACAAAAACAAAAAACAAGATTTTCCAAAAAGTAAAATGTATTACTGTCAGGTAGCTCTGTCAAAAAGGTGTATAACAACGAAAATTAAAAACAAAATAATTTAACATTACAGAAGTTGTATCTTACAAAACATAGCGAGCTCTTTCATTCGCAGTAAATTTCCTAGAAAAAAAAATATAATTAATTAAAAGCAGAAAAGGGCGCCTTCGAAGAGAAGACAATTGTTCAATGAATTGATCCACTTCTCTGTGTAAGCGACAGCCAACTAAATTTCTAGTTAACATGTTATTTACTACCTTCCCCTTCAACTGTCTTATTGTTAATACAAAATAAATTAACATTAAAAAAACGTGCATGTCCTGTTATGAAATAAAAGTATGCAGGAGCAGATTATCATAAGATTATGCCTAAGTACAAAATAATCTGCTTGAAATTTCAAATGCAATATCTCTGAATTATCTGGCTCACTCCTTTTGAATACTTATGGTATCCATACGGACCTTTGTTGGAAGAAAATAGAAACTTATAACAATCCGCGTTTTTAATTAATAAAATCAGAGAAGACATGCAGAATCCCAGACAATATGTTAATGGACACTCAAAAGAGTGATTTTATAAAAATATCTTACTCATTTCATGCCATGTGATACTTTGTCGACCAATCGGATAACGTATTACTATGCTAATAAGTCTTGCTGCAATGTTGCGATGATTATAGACGATAAAAGGAATTGATTACAAGGCATAAAATATATACATGCATGCGTTTACGTGCGAGGAAGCTCCTGGAGACATGTATTCAAAGGTGAGATATGAATCATTATCGTTATTGCATAGGCCTAATCTTATCTTAAAAAACAATAACAATGTTTTACAAAGTGTCTTTCCAGGACATTATTTTATCGTAAATGACTAACTACCTCTCAAAAACGCTTTCGGAGGTGACGTTTTTGTCATCGGTAGTCGGATACTGTTGTTTTAAGTGCTAATAATTACATCTAAATTCTATTATGAACATTAAACAATCCATTCAAGTAAACCAAGTCGTCACAACTAATTATATTTCTTAGTTTAGCTTTGAAACTGCTAGTTTACTATATATAAAGTAGACATACTAGTAGATACTAGTAATACAGTACATATTTATATATATCCGCTCTGGTCACCATTGAGCACTCTTCCTGTAATATTTGCGATACGTTCCATTTTTTATTTTGGTTTTATAT